CTTCAATTTTTGAAAGGCATACTGGAAGTATATCTATCTACCCCCTAAATATTACTGAACTAGGAACATGATTTTGATTCAGAACAAAAATTCTCTTCCTTATCATTCTTAAGGTGGGTAGGGTTATCTCATGTATAACTCCTTCCTATCAAAAGTTGATCAAACAAAAGACCATCATAAATGATGAATAGCAAGTAAATCCACCATCTGAGCCTTCAGCAAGTATGTAATCTTTTTGCTGGTGGAAAGTTTTGCCTCCATGTTGATGGCTGCTGACTGATCAGGGTGGTGGTTGCTGAGGTTTGGAGTGGCTGCGGCAATTTCTTAAAGTAAGACAAGGATGAAGTTTTTCGCATCTATTGGCTTTTCCATTTACTTAAAACAATTAAAGGCCATCTTAAGGTTATTACATGACCTAATTTCAATATTGTTATGTCTCAAGGAATAGGGGGGCCTGAAGAGAGGGAGAGAGATGGGAAATGGCCAGTTGGTGGAGCAGCCAGATACACGACATTTATCAAGTTAGTCATCTTACATGGGTGCGATTTGTAGTACCCCAAAACAATTATACTAGTAACATCAAAGATCACAGTGATGACATATATGTGTGTGTGTATATATATATAATATATATATATATATATATATATATATATAGTGACATATATAATTATGAAAAAGTTTGAAATATTGCAAGAATTACCAAAATGTGACAGAGGCATGATGTCAGTACATGCTGTTGGAAAAATGGCTCCAATAGATGTCTTTGATGTAAGGTTGCCACAAACTTTCAATTTGTAAGAAATGAAATGTTTTCAAAGTGCAATAAAATGAGGTATACCTGTATGCTTTCTCTCAAAGAAAGAATGTTTCTTCTTTCCCTATCTCTCAAACCAACTCAGCCCTTCCCTCAGGCATCCAGCATTATGTCATGATACTTCCCCTGTCACATCTAAACAGCAGCAAGCAATATGTCCCAGGCTTTGAAACTTGGGTTAGTTCCAATGTATGTAAACTACTTTGTAAAGTGAAATAGAATGTCAACTATTATCATCTGCTATTTTAAATTATCTATGCCTTCCTTATTTCCCTCGGTTTACATGTATAATTAAGAACTGACTGCAGTTAAAGTAATTTGCAGATTATTGCAAACCTAATAAGCAAATTGGGTTTTCCTCTTATAGTCTGAGTATTGTGGATAGTTCTTTGTTAATTAGATATTCATTGTTATTAACTAAATGTCAAAGGATAATGATGTAAAACTCATTTCTGCCATGGTGATGGCAAGTGGCAAAAAATTTTTAAAGGTGTTAAGAATTTTTAGAAGGTGTTAAGAACCATGCTGTTTTTATATTTGTACATACCTGCATATAGCTTTTAGTATTCAGAATGTTAATCCTTGCCCAGTGACTAATAAGAGGACATTCTACTGGAGGAACTGAATCATGTCAGTCTTGACATTCTAAGTTGCACTTAGATTGGAAGGATGAATTGTCATTGGAGAGACTCCCCCCTCCCCCCCCAAAAAAAAGAGTTGGGCTTTATCATCTCACCAGAGACATCATGAAGTATAATTTGATGGGATATTTGGTCATCTCATATGGCAGTGCTCTAGTGCTCATTTGCTTTAAAAGACCGATGTGAAGATAGTTACAGCTTATGTGCCAACAGATATTGCAGAAGATGAGGAGGTAACAGAAACTGTATGAAAAACTTGACTAAGATCTTTCTATTTAACCCTTATTTTAATGCTCAGTGACTTCAATGCAAAAAAAAAGTGGGCAAAGGGTAGAAAAGTTTTATATATATATATATGCATATATATATACATACACATATATATATATATATTATATTATATATTATATATATGCATATATATATATATGCATATATATATACATACACATATATACATATATATGTGTGTGTATATGTATGTATGTATATGTTTAAAATGTGGCTCAGAAGCAGGAAATGAGAAAGGCAAACGTCTCATGGCTGTATGTCATTTGTACTTTCTTCAAGAAGTTAGAGAGTAGGCAATGGAATTGGTAAGCAATGAGTAAACCCACAAAAAATGAAACTGATAATATTTTAACAGTAAATGATTGGAAAGAAGGAAATAAGCATTTATTAAGTGCCTGTTATGTGTCAGGCATTTTTCTGAGCACTTTACAAATATCTCATTTGACCATCAGATCAACCTTAGTAGGTAGGTGATATTAATATTTCCATTTTACAGTTGAGGCTACTAAGGCAGATGGATTTTAAGGGATTTTCCCAGGGTTACCAAGCTAGTTAAGTGTTTGAGGCCAAATTTCAACCCATATCTTGACCCCAAGCCCAGCTCTCTATTCACTGTACCACTCTTTTCTTTTCTTTTCTTTTCTTTTCTTTTCTTTTCTTTTCTTTTCTTTTCTTTTCAGGCAGTTGGGGTTAAGTGACTTGCCCAGGGTCACACAGGTACTAAGTGTCAAGTGATTGGTCTGAGGCTGGATTTGAACTCAGGTCCTCCTGACTTCAGGGCTGGTGCTCTATCCACTGCGCCACCTAGCTACCCCTAAGAAGTCATTTCTGAATCAACATCAGTCTGTTTTAAGACTATCAGCTTTTTAGAGAAAAGACCAAAATTTACACCAAATTATTAGAAAGAATAAGAATGAGAAGATAAGGCACGCAGTTGAGCTAATTCTAACCTGGACTATTCTTGCACTCACAGAAAACTGGCTTCCCTCAGAAAATATTGACATTCCATATATTGAATATACTTTTTTTCATGCTCCTTGACATAAGAAAAGATCATTTCGAGACCATCCATTTTAACCCATCACTCAGCACTCTCTCCTCCTTTGAGAAGTTCCCCTTCTCTCTACTCCTTCCTCACCATGTTCTCATCTCTACCCTTGCTTGACTACTCAGGAGGATATGAAGTTGAACAGTATTTTGGAACCATATAGTATATTTCTATATTCCTTTGTCCATTTGCCAGGAGTAAAGGTTATGGTGGGGCTAACTATGTCTTTCCCAGAACTGGCCCTCTTTATATCACCTTTTACAGATACTGGTTCCAATCATATGCAACTCCCAGATCATTCTCCAGTCTAGTACCTATCCCATAATCTTATTCTCTACCCCAATCTCTGCCATTATAGTTGGGAGCTTCAATATGCATGCTGCTGTACCCCTCAAACATCTTCAGTTTTCCAGTTTAATCTCCTCAGATCCATGACCTATACCTTAATTCCACCTCAGCCCCTGGTAGAATGGTTAAACCCTTTTACGTGACTATCATTGAACTCCTCTCTCAGATACCTTCTGTATTCCCAGGACCTCTCTGGATCACTCCACCTAAAATTATTCTTTGTCTTTTCTTTGATTCATCCCTCCTTGTTCTCCAAGTCTGGATCTGGCCACCAGTCTGGCTTTATATCCCTCCTTTTACATTCTTAATCTTATACTGTTTTCTACCCTTGAATTTTTTGCTTTCTTATCTTATAACTTCTGTTACCTTGGGCAAGTGATATAATCTCTCTGAGACTCTATTTCCTCATCTATTAAAAAGGGGTATTTTTTTAAAAAATACTTAATCTTAGTAAACCTTAACCTACGTCATCTGCCTTTTCTGTTCCTACTCAGTGCTATTGAACACTGCTGGCGGAAGTTTTGCAACTGCTGTCTAATATATTTATTTTATCTAATCTTACCTTATTCCTAACTGCTTCATGGAAATCCTTATAATCTTATCTAATTGACTCATTCCTTACTCTCCAAAACAGCTTTTCCAAAGAATCTCTTCACTCTTCTCTCTTGCTTGTTCTCTCTCTTAGCAAAGGCCTATACCTCCTACTTTATTGTTATATTATCCCTCTTTCTTTTTGGCTCTTCTAATTTAACTGGGAGTGACCAATATTGGGTATTAGTTAGAAGAGACTTGGAGGTAAATGAAATATATATTGGCCTGGTAGAAGGAGAAAGGAGGAAAGTTCAAAGACATGGGACAATAGAGATGAGGTAAGATTGTGAACGGTGGAGAGACTCTCTTACCATATCTGATTTGTCCTTGCCTAAACCCTTTCATGTACTGGCAATGAATAAGCCAGGAAGAATAGTCAGGGTTAGCCTACCAGGAGTGGAGAACCTGCAGCCTCAAGGCCACATATGGCCCTCTAGGTCTTCAACTGTAGTCCTTTGACTAAATCCAAACTTCACAGAACAAATCCCCAATTTCACAGAACAAATCCTCTTTGTTTTGTTCTAGACTTCACAGAGCAAATCCCTTTTGTTTTGTTCTATATTTGTTCTGTGAAGTTTGGATTCAGTCAAAGGACAGCACTTGAAGACCTGTAGGGCCACATGTGGCCTTGAGGCCGCAGGTTCCTCACCTCCGGTCTAGACAACGAACAGAGAAATTGGAAACAACTCTAGAGAGGATTGGAGGTTGCTGCCTGTGACAGAAATGTAAGTTTTCAGGTGGCTGAGCAAGGGCATACAGTTGTGTGGTAGATGTTCTATTACATATTGACATATTCCTTTATTGGTTTTATATAAAGACTAAAAACTCTCTTTATAGTCAAGCATATATGCCTTTGTATCTGGGACTTACTAGATGCAAGGTGGGGGCAAGATTTCTAGGTAGATCCTGAATTCACCCAGAGAGAGGTAGAGCTAGAGGGGTTAGAAGATCATATCTTATCTGAAAACTGTAAAGCTTTCAACTTGCCCCACTTAATTTTAGCGGAGGTAAAGTACGTAAGCTCATGAAGGTAAGCATGAGCTTTCCCAGGGTCCTGTCCTTATTGGTAAATTGGATCAGGTCAGTGGCTAACAATGCCTCCTTGTGGTTCAGCTGAGAAATAGAGTCCGTCTGTTTCTAATGCCCTCTTCCTCTCTATTCTCTCTCTTATAACTCCCTTCTTTTTGTTACATTCTTTGAAAAAGAGGCGACTTATCTTTGTCAAAGCCAACCCCTGTACCTTTCCATTCCTGTTTCCTTTCAGAGCTTGACCTTTAAATCATCCCTCCTCTGCCTCTCATCTTCAGTCTGCACCATTGGAGAAAATACCTACATGGCAGGATCAAACCATTTTATGCCAATTTCTGATGTAAGTTGCATTTCTGCTGGGTGGATATGGAACTGCTTTATTGACTTTATGGATTTAGAATTCGCATTCAGACAGACATGGGGAATCTGGGTGTGGACTGAACTATGTCACTAATAAAAAACCAGACAATTTAAATGAGAATTGATTGGGGTTTATGATGTGCCTAACACTGTGCTAGTTGCTGTTCAGGATACAGAAAACATATCTGGCAAGTTCTTATAATTTTTTGGGGAAGAAAAGATACTTAGAAACAGTTGGAGAACAATACAATAATATGTGTTAGAGAAGAATGATATAAGTAAAATACTAAGTCAATATGTTTTGAACATTCAGTTGGGAGAACTAGGTACGGTTGAAGGACTTCAGGGATTTCTTATATGTAGTAGGTTCTTAATAAATGTTTGTTTAATGGAATTGGATTTGAGGCCCAGGATGGGAGATGTCAATATGTCTGTATGGGTGGAGTTTAAAAAAGAGAATAATAATTCCAGTGTGTTATCTGGTTGTGTAGCTGTTGGGTTATTGAATTGTATAACCTGATCTTTGTCCTAAAGAAACTGGCAAATCTCTTTTGGAAATCTGTGGTGCATAAATCATAAATTAACTAAAAGATTTATAGGAAACATTTTCTTTTTTCAATAATTAAAAAAAAACCCACACCCTAATCTTTGTAAAGAAGTAATCTGCTTTAAAGCTAGTCTTATTTATTTTTAGACAATTAGAAATGAAGCATATTTTGTCCCTTAGGGAGGCATTTTTCTTTCTTTTCATTCTCCAATTTAATAAACTTATAAAAAGAAAAATCTGGGTCCATCTGTGTGGAGTTGTGCATAAGAGGAGAGGAATTAATTCACACTGTCTTGTGTCAGGATGTGATATGATTATGCCGACAAAGCTAAAAAAAGAAAATACCCAGAGCTCATAAAAAAAAATTGGAAGAGGTCACAGCTACAACAGATGGAAAGAGAAGTGGGTCTCATCATTCAGCAGTTACCAAGCTAAGAGGACACATTAACCTAGGCATCCACACTATATACAGCTGATGCAACCTGGTGAATGTCACTGGATCTTAATCTAGGATCAGAGGGAGAGCTGAGAATTTTATGTCAAAGTGCTTGTCATATATGTCTATCTACCTCAGAGAAATAACCAAGGGAACTAGTTAAAGCTATTTAATAGATTAATGTTCTGAAATTTTGGAATTACATATGTTCAGCTCTCAGTTACCTTTATGTGGATTATTCATGGAAATTTTAATATGATTTTATGAGTATTGATAAAACATATTAGATCATGGATGAAGCACCCAGACAACTGACAGAATCTTAGTTGGAAGGTATCCCAGAGTTTGTTTAGTCCAATTTATATTCCTGGTCATTTTTAATCTGAGGTCAAACGTAAGGACAAGCAGGATTCTGTTCAAGAAGGAAGGGGAGCTCTCAACAACAACAAAAATTCTGAATATGTTAAAGGAAATAATTCTGATGAGGAGGAAACGTAGAAGCTATCTGAAGAGACCGATTTGTTTGCATGTAGAATTTTCCAAACTGCTGAGATTTTTAGAGGTAGAGTAAATGGAAGCAAAGGCAAGTAACAGGATGAATGCAAGAGAATGGCAAGATCCTCTTAAGAATAGCATTAGTAATACTCAAGGGCAAATTTTGCTGAGGACAGCAAGGAAAACCGAGAGCAGCAGCCCTTGTCCTTTTATTTGAGCTATATAGAGGCAAAAAAAGGATGAAGACACTGACTGAACTGGATGAAATTATGATAAATGACAAGAGAAGGAAGGCAGAGCTGTTTTCTCTGTCTAGTAAATGATCTTTTCATTAGAAAGGAGAGAATGAAAATGGTTAACAGGTAGTTGATTCTTAAAATACATAAGGGGTTAGCAAAAAAAAAAGCCTAGGTAACCTTGAACAATTCAATTTAACTGGTATCCTTTATTACTTGGTGACTTTAGCACAAAGGTAGGGATAGGTGAGGATGGCAAAAAATGTGTTGGAAAATATGTGTAAAACAAAACAAAACAAAACAAAACAAAACAAAAAAGGGGCAGCTAGGTGGCGCTGTAGATAGAGCACCAGCCCTGAAGTCAGGAGGACCTGAGTTCAAATCCGGCCTCAGACCAAACACTTAACACTTACTAGCTGTGTGACCCTGGGCAAGTCACTTAACCCCAATTGCCTAAAAAAAAAAAACAGCCCGAAAATATGTGGATCAGGAATAAGAAATTAGAGAGACCAAAGACTTAAAGACAGAAGTTTCACACCTATACATCCTGAATATTTTCTTTGAGAAAAAAATTGGAAGGTGCTAGAGATGATTAGTACCAGATAACATCACAAAAAGGAAATTGATTATATTTTAACAGATAATGAAGCAACACATTGCTGACCTAAGAGTTATTATTGAATCATTTGTGTGTGTTACAGTCAGAACATTTACTTGTTAGAAGAAAGATTAAAGTTAGTACAAAATTACATAAAAAATAAAGAAACAAGAAAAGGATATGATATATATTTAAAATAATTATGACCTAATTTGTTTAAATAAGTTATTGATAATAAAAATGGGATTTAGATGGAAAAAGAACATAAACACCAAATATAATAATTTCAAATAAGTTTAAATGATGTAAATCAGTTGCCATAACAAGGAAACCAAAAGATCCTAAAAATTTCCTTAGTTAGCAAACATTTAACTTACTTGCCAAGCTGAGACTTAGCAGCCAAGAGTGACACCAGTTTAAAATATAAACTTGTTTGTAAAATCTTAGGAAGAAATATGTTGGAAGATTATGAGCAGTGCTGTTTCGCAAAACAGAAAGACTAGTAGTAGTGGTGGGGGGTGAGTGTAAAACTAATTTAGAGAAAGCTTGGTACTTTGACTCAGCAATAGCACTGCTAGGCTTTAATACTCTGGAAGAGAGAGTGAGGCTGATGACTTTAAGCAACTCTGCCTCACGTAAATCTGACTCACACACAAGTAAACATGTTATCCATCATCCACTATTTACCCAACTTGAAGTTCTTCTGTAGAGACAGGTGAGTGATGAAACAGCAGGTGCGAATACACTGGGAGCTGTAGCCACAACCCTCCACACAGGCAGCCTAGGACACTGGATCATCTTCTCACTGGACTGAAGCAGCAATGGATTTGGCAGCCCCCTGAGTGTCAGAGCAGCCCTTTTAAGGACCATACTGCTCACCTCCTGGTGTGAAGAAGTGGTTAGAAAAGGTGCCCTGCCTGTAGTAGAGCCCTCAGAATTCATATTGGACTGATCAGCCATAGCTGAATACACTGTACACTGGCTCCAAAATTATGATGTCATTGGGTGTCTTCAAAAATGAAGGATGAAAAACAACAGCCACTACTAGGTCTGTATCCCAAAGAGATCAAAGTAAAGGGGAAAGGACCTATATGCACAAAAACATCTATAGCAGCTCTTTTTGTGTTGTGGCAAAGAATCTGGGTGTCCATCATTTGGAGAATGGCTGACAAGTTGTGGTATATGATTGCGATGGAATACTATTGTGCTCTAAGAAGTGAAGAGTAGGATGGTTTCAGAAAAACCTGGGGAGACATATATGAACTGATGCAAAGTGAAATCAGGAGAATGTTATACACAGTAACAACAGTACTGTAAGGATGATCAACTATAAAAGACTTAGCTACTCTGATCAATACAATGCTCCAAGATAATTCCAAAGGACCCATGATGAAAAATGCTATCTACCTCCAGAGAGAGAGAGAGAAAAAAAGAGAGAGAGAATTCTGATGAACTCTTGACACAGATTGAAGCATACTTTTTTCATTTTTTTGTTTCTTGCTTTTATTTTTTTTAATATGATTAACATGGAAATATATTATGAATGACTTCACATGTATAACCTATATAAAATTGCTTGCCTTCTCAAGGGAGAGGGGAGAGGAGAGAATTTGGAACTCTAAATTTTAAAAGATGAATATTAAAAATTGTTTTTACATGTAATTGGGAAAAGATAAAATATTATTTTTTAATAAAAAGGAAAAAAGGGGAAAAAAAAGTTTGGCGAAGAGAAACTCAGTTAGCCAAATCATCTCAAAAGTATTTGGAATGAAACTGTTTAGGACAACAACAAACAGATTAAAGATGGACAATAATTTTTTTTTAATCACAAGGAAACAGAGCCACCATATGTGGACTCAAATAACCCAGTCCTGTATATGCTTGTGAAACATGAGTTCTTAATTTTTTCTGTCATAGACCCCTTTGGAAATCTAGTGAAACCTCTGAACCCCTTCTTGGAATAGATAGTTTTGTTGCTTATATTTATAATTAAAGAAAATGCTAAATTTCAATTAGAAATTAATAAAAATGAAGGAGCAATTTTTATCCCAACAAATTTATGAATCTCCCTGGGGTCCATAGACTTCAAGTTAATAACCTCTATTATAGAAAATGTAGAAATGGCTCTAAAAAGTGGCTGGATTAGACCAAATGAACATAGAAGGCATCTGTGCTGGACATGACAGAATTGTAAATATATTGATGGATCGGTTCTGCAGGCATCTGAAGGAGGGAAAGATGCTGAAAGCATTGGGAAAAAAAACCTTAAATTTTATTAATAACCTCCAGGAAGGTGACCAAGAGAACATCAACATATGATGGTTTACATGACTATTTTTATATATATATTCATCTGTACATGCTTTGAGGGCATCCTTGATCAAAGTATTCACAGAGAACAGATGCAAATTTATAAGTGCTAATCCACAGTAAATCACATCTTTACCTTCACAGAAAGGATCAAAAGATAACAGAGAGTACAATGTCCCTTGGCACACATTGTTTGACTATAAAAAATCTTGATTAAGTGGAGTAAAACACTGTCTTAAAGGCTGTTCCACAAAGGTATCCCATACACATACATTAACATTATACAAGTTGCTTCAAAAAATGTGAAGAGATAACCTAGTCAAAAAGAGAGACATCAAGGAAGATGTTTGCTATTATC